CAGATTGGGTAGGTAAGAAATTAACGTGAGGTTCCTGAGGGACTGTGATATTGCATCATTATTTAAAACAATATAAATGCAAACACATGTATGTATTACATCATAAGGTGGATATTTCCTTCCCAAGCCACTAAATGTAAATGTATAAACATACCTACCAAGCATACAGGGTCAAGGAGTGAACTACTTGTATATTGGTTGCCTGCCTGGTTTTCATTTAATTGATTTGGAGTAGTTTGGGATCACACTTCATTTATAAGACAGGAGCAGTGGATTTCAGTCTAGAATCGAGAGTATGAGAAGTTTTAAAGTCACCAAAGAGTGATTCCCTGAGTCGTGAAACCTCTTTCCACCTGAGGCCTCAGGCAAACAATATGTTTTTTCAATTCTCCGTTCTCATGAGTGTAATTAAAGTCAATAGAAGACTTTTTAACAAGGAAAAAATGAAGTACTATGTATTAAACAGAGAAACTGTGTTATATACATGGTTAAAGTATCACAGTTAAGCACAGAAAGTTGTGACATTTGAATAATCAACTTGTTTATGTCATACCTATGAAATACAAATAGGAGACAAGACTGAAAAAATGTGTCAAGAATTAGGCTCCAAAATCTATCACAGGTATCTGAACATGGCTACTGCCTTGTAATCATACTCACGTGGGTAGATCTTTGCATTAGTACAAAGTGTGATGAAGGTATGCATGACATGTTTGACCTCTGATTTGCAATATAGTAATTAAAAACTGTAATGCATCTACACAAGTACAGAAATGGCTTACCTGGACTCTTTATGCCATAGGCACAATGTAGATTACTTGCCTATTGTTTCCAGTTAAAATGGATACTGAGAACAAGCTCTGTCTTTTTACAGTAGTGGTAGGTAGAACTTGAGGGATAACAAAACATTGAGATCAACACACTGGAAAGTGCTAGTAAAATCTTGATGTCTCCTACCACTTCCTAGTGACCTCTTAGCAGCTGGGTGCTGTAAAGTGGTCTGCTTTCATACTCCTGCATGTTAACAAGCATAGTCTGAAATACTGTCATCAATAATTAAAATTAAATGACATCTGTCATATTCAGTGTGTGCTATGAATTTTGCAGTGCCGCCTTTGATTTATTCCTTTCTCGGAGCTCATTGTTCACTAACCTCATTCATAAAATGTGAATATTTGCCACAGGTCTTTCACACGTTAGCGATGTTTTACTCATACAGTAAAAGCACTTTGAAAAAAAAAAAAACCCAATGTATTTAATATGTATCTAGTTTTGCATGAGAGATCTTGTTACATCAATTTAAGCATATGCAATGTTGGGTTACCCAAAGTTGGCCAAAAAACCCAAAAACCTGCATATACAGAAAAGCTGAACAGGTTCATGATGGGAAAAAAGCCTCCGCTTTCCTAGTGAATAAGTGTGCAGCTTAAGAACTTAGCTCTGAGCCGATGCTGTTTATTAAGTTAAGAAATGTAGTGGTAGAAATCTGTGATGTTGAAGGGTTTCTCTGTGGAGCTGTAGCCTCAAGGAGGAGGGAGTTTGCGTTCCCTTGTTGTGGTATGAGCAGCTGGATCAATGGCTAATTGTAGTAAGGCTGTGTTCGAGGGACTTGCAGCAAACTCCTAGTGCTGCAGTTGTGAGTCCTACTTTCAAATCAAGAGGGATAAATTATGGAGGAGATTGAATGAATAATAAAGTTAGTTTAGTTTTTAATACTACTATAAACTGCCTGAGAACTTTTCACTATATTTTATGAGGCAAGGATCTAAAATGAAATGAAATAAATGTGGAAGATCTGAGAAGTTTCCTAAGAATTTCCCGTCTGTGTATTGAGAGCATTGAAAATAAGAGTGAAAAAAGGCTCCTTTTTAAAGTCCTTTGAGCACAGAGGTTGAAAGTAAGCATTTTTATCTTGGAAAGAGAATGTGCATCATTAGTGAGGTTTTTCAAAATGTCTTAACATTGCATCGATGTAACTGACAAAGAGAAGTGAGTTTATGTTATAGTTCATCTTTCATTCTTGTTAGGGCTGGAAAAAGGGGAAAATCAATAATAGTGATTTCAATGAAAATATCAAGATTTGTGAGAGGATGGACGTTATTATAAACAATTAAATTAATTTGACAAATACCTGCCTTTTTCCAGATTGTTTTTAAATGCTCTTTGACATTTTCAAAGTGAGCTATCTTGGGGTTTTTTTGTTCCCAAACTGCATTTTAATTTAAAAATTGATTCTTTTTTAGGCACTGAAAAAGAAGTAAACAAAAACCACACTTGTGCTTGTAATTTGTCTCCAATGAAAATGTGTGTGCATGCATTTTGATCACCTGAGACCAAGTGAAAAGGCAAATTCTCCAAGCCATATATTCCTTGGGTAATTTGTTTTAAAAAATGGTGTGGGGACAAACTCAACAACTCGGTACAATTGTATGGTACTTTAAACGTGAAGATGTTTTCTCTTAGGGAAGGAACAGTTAAATAAAGAGTGTATGTAGCTGGGTACCCACTTGTACTACGTACCTAAGGAAATATGGTAAACAGGTCAGAGCCTCTCCTGCAGTTAGGCTTGTGGCAAGACAGGCATCAAGAAAAGACACAGGCTTTCTAAACCTGTCTGTTTCTTTGGTTGTGTATGAAAGCAAATGTTAACAAAAGCAAGATACATCTTAAGTTTATAGCACTACTGCATTAAGTCTAGAGTTCTGCAGAAGTCCTCAGGAAATTTCAGTGGTCCTGAGAACAAGAGTCTCTGGCCATGCTTCCTTGTGTGGTGCAGACTGCACTCAGCCTCGTTG